GCTTATTACTAAAGAGCTTATTTAATTATAAATAAGGCTATAGTATATAAATATTTATAACTACTAGCTATACTAAGAAGTAGTAGTAAATTAAATTACTATTAAATATAAGATGTCTACTAAATTAATAGCTAATAGATTAATAAAGGCACTTAGTACGCTATAATTTACTATATTTATAGCTTAATTAAGTATAAGTAACTAAGATATACGCCTTAAAGTAAATTAATAGTAAGAACTAGCTAATAATAAAGTAAAGCTTTACTACTATATAAAAAAAGAAAATATATAAGATATTAAAGGATAATTAATAAATAAATAGGCTATATATAAATAATATTTAGTATAGGCTCTATAGTAATTAATTACGCTGCTAGCGCTAAGGGGGTGTATTAAATATAGCAGAATTACATATAAATTAGCTAGTAAATACACAGTTGCCTTATAGCAAATTATTAGGGAATAGGCAGTGAATTAGCCCTACTTCTAATAGTAACTTTACTAATAATATCGCTAGGATTAGCTAGGGATTTCCTAACTAAGAAATAGGGGTTTTTCCTTATTTCTATAGTAATTCACTATAGTTATATAACACATAACAGAATCAATCAAGCAACTATTACAATCCCTACTATTTGACAAGTATATTAGTAGCGTAGATCTTAATTTACACTTCACCAGTGCGCGTACAGTATCCTGACAAGTGAGAAGTGGTTAAATCAAATAACTGCTAGTGAGCAAGCTAACGGCAAGGGGTGTCACGGCCGCTGTGATAGGCATAGTGTAATGGCAGAAGCAGGGGTCTGAAGGTGACAAAAGCACGGGTTGATAATTTACGTCAGCAGCAAGTTAGGTGGCAAGGGCCAGCAAATTGACTTATGATTAGCAGTTAATCCAGTGACCGCCTTCCACTCTAGACTTAGCATGATAGATACCCGCTTGCTCTCTAGCGGTTATTCGATTTAACGAGAGTCTACGGATACGGATACGGTAATTGTGCTGGTTTCTTCTAAATGTAAATCTATGCCAGTCTCGGCCTAAAGTATGCTGTGCTGACATAATTATGCACCCCCGCTAAACATGCCTCAATGCTTGGGTGGGTTGTTCCTTCCTCCACAGGTCCCCACTTAATCTGATTGCTGCCACATTGCTGTCAAGCCACTTGTTTAGGTCTAAGCCTATCCCCCTTGTAGAACGTGGCCACTTGAAGCTATCAAATCGTCTCCTACACATGGTTGACATAGTTTACAGATTCTCAACCCCCAACCACTCTCACGGGTAGCTAGCCAGACAACTTCCTGGTCTCAATACCCAATTAAATCATCGACTAACCCGTCAAACACTCAACCATCCGCGGTCGGCTATTGCATTCCACCCAAGTAATAATGGACTACGAAGCTCTCAAAGAGCAGTGGAGCGAGGTCGAGGACCGCGATGGTGTTCGTCTCAGTTGGAACGTCTTTCCCAGCTCTCGTATGGTATGTCGTACTTATCGCATCTTCAACTTGGTTCCAATTACTGACAGTTGCGCTTGTAGGAAGCGTCGCGCCTTGTCGTTCCCATCGGTGCTCTCTACACTCCTCTCAAAGAAAAACCCGACACGCCCCTTCTCCAGTTCGAGCCCGTCACTTGCAAGCAACCCTGCCGCTCGGTTCTCAATCCTTTCTGGTGAGGAAGCACACCTTTTACCATGTTGAGCCACACTAACCTCTAGTCGTGTAGCTCAGTAGACGTACGCGCTCGTCTATGGATTTGCCCATTCTGCCTCTCGAGGAACCCTCTTCCGCCTCATTACAAAGACATAACCGCCAATGCCATCCCCCCTGAGCTGCATCCCTCCAACACCACAATAGAATATCGTTTATCCCGCCCGGCACCAAGCCCTCCTATTTTTCTCTATGTAGTAGATACCTGCCAGGAGGAGGACAGCTTGGCTGCGCTCAAGGAGTCGCTGGTCATGAGCCTGAGTCTTCTCCCCGAGAATGCGCTTGTCGGGTTGATCACATATGGAACAATGGTATTTGAAATTGTCCAATCGCTAAGCTGTGATGACAGCTGCTGACCTGGGCAGGCCCAAGTCCACGAGATTGGTTACACCGAATGTGCCAAGTCATATGTTTTCCGTGGTAGCAAGGACTACTCTGCGAAGCAGGTCCAGGAAATGCTTGGCTTACTATCACCAGCCATGCGCCCTGGTGTGCCTCAGCAACAAGCCGGAAGACCGATGCCAGCTGGTCCCGCGTCACGATTTTTGCTGCCCGTTCAGCAGGCCGAATTTCAACTGACAAAGGCGCTTGAACAACTTCAAAAGGATCCCTGGCCCGTTGCCAACGACCGCAGGAGCCTGCGATGCTCTGGCGTAGCTCTCAGTGTGGCCGTGGGACTACTGGAGTCCTCTTTCCAGCATGCTGGTGGCCGCATCATGCTGTTTGCTGGCGGCCCGGCGACGGAAGGACCGGGCATGGTTGTTGGCCCTGAGCTACGAGAGCCCATTCGATCACATCACGATATTGATCGTGACAACATCAAGTACTACAAGAAGGCCCTCAAGGTCTGTAGATCAGCATATCTCTCCCCAAAATGTCAAACTAACGCAACCTTCTAGTTCTATGACAACCTAGCCAAGAGAACTGCACACAATGGGCACATCATCGACATTTTTGCTGGCTGTCTCGACCAAGTTGGTCTCCTTGAGATGAAGGGGCTCTGCAACTCAACTGGTGGTCACATGATCCTGACGGATAGCTTCACCTCGTCTATGTTCAGACAATCCTTCATTCGTGTGTTCGAAAAAGACGGCGACGATAACCTGCTCATGGGATTTAATGCCACGCTCGAGGTGTTGACGACCAAGGAACTTAAGGTTACGGGCTTAATTGGTCATGCCATTTCGCTCAACAAGAAGTCCACATCAGTGGGAGAAACGGAATGTGGAATAGGCAATACGTGTTCTTGGAAGATGTGCGGTATCGACCCAAACGCCAGCTACGGCGTATACTTCGAGATTGCAAGCCAGGGTGGTCCTACGCAGCATCAGCAGACACCTCAGAAGGGCATGATCCAGTTTCTCACATACTACCAGCACTCTTCTGGCCAGTTCCATTTGAGAGTAACAACAATTGCCAGAAATCTTAGTGGACCAGCTGGCGACCCGGCGATCGCCCAGTCATTCGACCAGGAGGCTGCCGCAGTTCTCATGTCCCGCATCGCTGTTTTCAAGGCCGAGGTAGACGACGGACCTGATGTTCTGCGGTGGGTTGACAGAATGCTCATCAGACTTTGCTCCCGTTTTGCGGACTACCGCAAGGACGACCCGTCATCGTTCAGATTGGAGAAGAATTTCACCTTATACCCGCAGTTCATGTTCCACCTGAGGCGAAGTCAGTTCCTTCAGGTCTTCAATAACTCTCCCGACGAGACGGCCTTCTATCGCCATGTTCTTAACCACGAGGATGTGAGCAATTCGCTCATCATGATCCAGCCCACGTTAGATTCATACACGTTCGACCAGGAGGGTGGCCAGCCTGTTCTCCTGGACTCAACCTCGATTCAGCCCACCCACGTCCTTCTTCTTGACACATTCTTTCACATACTTATTTTCCACGGAGAGACCGTGGCGGATTGGAGAAAGGCAGGCTACCAGGATCAGGAGGGCTATGAGAATTTTGCCTCGTTGCTTGAGCAACCTAAAGAGGATGCCAGAGTATGTACCCGGGGTGTGATATTTTCGAAGACGCCTCGTCGACTAACAATACAAAGGATCTTATCACTGACAGATTTCCGCTTCCGCGGTTCATTGTTTGTGATGCGGGAGGATCACAAGCCCGATTCTTACTTTCAAAACTCAACCCCTCGACAACGCACACCACTGGAGCATATGGTGGCGTGGGCGCGCAGAATGCGCAGACTATATTCACTGACGATGTCTCTCTGCAGACCTTCATGGATCATCTCATGAAGTATGACCAGTTCGCTTCCTAACTTTGATAAGAATCATTGGCTAACAGTGACGTCCAGGCTTGCCGTCAGTGGCACTAACTAAGTAGATGACCTGTAATCACGCCGAGGCTGAGGCGAGTCGAGAACGAGTAGGGCACGAAACAGAAAGTTTTTGTCACGTATATATTGCTTATCAAAGGTGTAGCAGAGACTTGCGTGGCGTTGTCTAGCTGTCGTTCACTCGACTTAGTCCAGGCGTATTAATTCCAAAGTGTTGTTGTTATATACTGCTGGTGGTGGGGAGGGGGGACTCTGCATCGAGCCAGGCCATTGCCGATCGACCTTTGCGGCCTCTTCTGTGATGGCGGTTTCTAAATACACTACTCACTCGATGCAATAAGAAAGGGTTTGTGTGTTGGTATAGGAGTAGCAAACCTATAATGACGTGTGAGCGGTTGTCATTGAACACAATTTATTTGACCACTGGGTGAGTCTTGGCGTCACTTTATGACCATCCACGATGGGCGTGACATTTTGTTGCTATGAGAAACACAGAAGGGTGGAATTGCAATTTAATAAATTCCACTGGATATGCCCCGTCATTACGTACATATCTAGGTACCCCGCCCCCACTAACGCAACTGTTCGTAAAACATAGAGACGTGCCTCTCAATAGGTGGCTGAACTTCATAACCTTTGCGGGACAATGAGGGTCAATGCTTCATATACCCTGTTGGGCATGTGGCTTGTGCTTGTAAGTGGCTTGTTAGAGCAAAATTTGGAAAAACCCATGATCAAAAGAAAACAATGGAGATACACGTGATTTGAGCGATACCTAATCCACTCTTCCTTTCCTGCAGAAGGCTCAGTGATTGGTCAAACTCTCGTTAAACCCGTCAAAGCCACTGGAGATGTGGCTTGGGTCTTTTATTCCCAATTTGCACCTGCCCTACAGCGCACAATCTGGATTATCTCGATTTTTCCCCCGTCTTCCTCTAGAGTCCAATTCTTCCTTCGATCACCAACTTTCCTACCAGACCCCAGATTCGAGAGCAGTCACAATGCGTATGTTCCTCCTTTGTCGCCGGCCAGCCTGTTACTTTGTTCTCGAGATGCTAACGTTGGACTCTGCTTGTAGCTCCTAAATTCGATCCCAATGAGGTCAAGGTCATGTTCGTTCAACCCGCATTCTGCCGTCGAGTCGAGGAAGAAAAGTTGCTAACCTAGTATATGAATGCAGTCACCTCCTCGCCACTGGAGGTGAGGTCGGTGCCTCTTCCGCTCTGGCCCCCAAGATCGGTCCTCTCGGTCTGTCTCCCAAGAAAGTTGGTGAAGATATCGCCAAAGCCACTGGCGACTGGGTATGATTCGAACCTTCGTGTGAGCACCTTTCTGCAAGAACAACACTAACAGCGATCGTCTCACAGAAGGGCCTCCGTGTGACGGTCAAGCTCACCATTCAGAACCGCCAAGCCGCTGTCTCCGTCGTCCCTACCGCCTCTTCCCTTATCATCCGTGCCTTGAAGGAACCTCCTCGTGACCGGAAGAAGGAGAAGAACATCAAGCACAACAAGTCTGTGCCTCTGGACGAGATCATTGAGATTGCGAGAACCATGCGCCACAAGTCCTTCTCTAAGTCGCTGGAGGGTACTGTCAAGGAGATTTTGGGAACGGCCTACAGTGTTGGATGCCAAGTTGATGGCAAGACCCCGAAGGCAATCACCGAGGCCATCGAGGCCGGTGAGATTGACAGTAAGCCCCCTGTATCCGTGGCAGTGTTGAATTAGCCAACTGACATGTGTTGCACAGTCCCCGAGGAGTAAAGAAGGTCAATGGCTGGATGGACACTCTCGCATGACTTCTGGAGTTTAGGAAAGGTTCTGCATTAAGGGGACTACCGAAAAGGGATAACCTTGGGCAAAGAAAAAAAAGACTTGCCAAATGACCAAATCAAATGACCACAGATACTTGCCGCCTCCATCTTTGGCGACCCCCAATGAGTGATGAGATGGCTGTGACGAATAGGCCCTACTCTTCCGCGGGTAACCTTTCCATTTGATTAAGGATTATTGAGCGCCATCACACATGTAGCCCAGCATCAATTGTGGCTTTCGCCCACGAACTTGGCTCATAAGTGTGTCTGCTAGCATTGAAGGAACTTCTTTTGTCAAAAGCTTTCAACTGTTTTCTGGGGCCTGATACCAACTCATCGAAATTCGCTGTCCTTAGATGTTTTGCTTTTGTACCGGAATATCGATGACACCAGCCAGTCATGCTAGGAGTAGATAATAACATCTACCTACGATGGCCCCAGATGGTACAAACCGAATTTTACTTTGTTTCGGAGGCACGTGGACGATTGGCCGTAGGTGGTAATCCATTTTCCAGGAAACAATGGCCGCAGCCATAAACCCGATACATAGCCAATGTACTCCGTTCTTCCACATGAATGCATATCTACACTATACCTGATCTATCCTGTCATGTGTTCATCGATAAAGCAACCCAGGAGGTATCGAACCGCCGTTGTATGAACAGACGCCTCCAGACCCGGACCAGAACAGACAACACGGAATCGGTGATTTGTGTGAGAAAAGACAGGATAGTACACATAAGTCGAGACATCATAACCAAACCCACGCCTGACACGGTTGCTTCAATGATTCCATACATTTCGTTCTGTCATCCAGCACCGCGCAAGTGTATATCCTGAAGATCAATCAATGCTCGATGTCTAAAGGACACAGAGGAGTCGGGGCTGGCCGTTAAGCAGAAGAACTAGACATCAGATTGGTATAAAAACTTATCCAGGGCCAGGGGGCATGCATCCTGCCATTTCATTACTACAGTGGGGTAGCAAAAGTGTGGCTCAATCCCCACCTTGCGACGCGATTTTCCACACACGTTAACACCCACTACTCTATAATATCCTTTACTAACAAACAAAAATAGCAGATAAAACCACTAGAAAGATGTTTTTACCTTATAAGCAAATAAGGATTTAAAGTATCTAGGAATTAGGTATGCCTTATAAGTAAATTACTACTAAAGAGGGCTGTTTAAGATACTCTATATATAAGATTATTAAATAGTATAAAATCTAGACCTCTAGTTAAAGTTAACCTTAATCTAGCTAGCCCTTTTTACTTATAGATTAGTATAAAGAGCATATTTTTTTAATCCTTACTTAAGACCTTTTTATATTAGCTTAATAGATTATTAAAAGTGCTTTTCTCTCTTATTTAAAGTAGATATTAGTATAATACCTTAAGAATTAAGACATTTAACACTATTAAGCCTTATAATAGCTAAAGCTTTCTACTTAAGAAGCTAGAAAATATCTAGTCTTTATAAGAGCTTATATAAGAAAGCCTTCTACCTATTAGTAATATTAAATATTCTTTAATAAGATATTAATTACTTATAGTAATAAAAAGAGAAGTAAGTAGCTATTTTACTAAAAATATACTTATTTTATATCTTTATATATTAGTAATATTAACTATTAGTATAAAAGACTTTAATATAAAAATATATACCTATAAAAGAAGCTTACTTAGTATAGTTAGATATGTTAAGAAGTGTTTTTAAAAAGAAATTAAATATCTTTAATACTACTATCTAAAGACCTTAAATCTACTTAAAAAGATATTATAAGCTATATTATTTTTACTTACTATATAGGTACGTTAAGAATTATTACTAATAATTACTAAGTAAAAGGAATAAGAAATAACAGGTAGATCAGTAGGTTAACTAGATAGATAGGTAAATAGATAAGTAGAAAGATAGGTGTAGTTTTATTATGCTTAGAAGGCATAGAGAGCTAGAATCCCTTAAGGGGACCTTATCTCTATATATAATTAACTAACTTCTATATTTCTAGTAATATATATATTAACCTTTATATTATATTATACTTATTATACTATTATATAGATTTGAAACCTTATATTGTTATAGCCTGTTTTAAGCTAGTTACAGCCTGTTACACTACTTGTTACAGCTTGTTATAGCATAATACGGTCTGTTTAATATCTAGTTTTATTTAAGTAGATATTTCTATTTTTAGTACCCTAGAGTAAATCTAGTTACTATTTATATATATCTACTTTTTATACTTCTTAGAGATAGAGTACTAGAGAGTAAATCTCTATAGGTCTATATCTAGAAGTAAAGGTTATATTAGATATCTTATATATATATATATATAGTAGTGTTACTTTAAGGTTATGAATAAGGTTAAATTTAAGGTTAAATTTAAGGTTATAATTATATAAGCTTTTATATCTAAGTAAAGGTAATATTTACTTAAGATAATATATTTACTTATATAGCTTAAATAGTTTAAAAACAGCTTTATAAATAGGCTTATAAGAATAAAGTTACTTTAGTAAATTAGTAACTATACTTACTTAATTTTAACCTAGTAAAAATATATATAAAATTCTTAAGTAATAAATTTACTAAAGACACTAAGAAATACGACCGTACAAAAGAGTACGCAGGTCACCTGTCTTGTTACTATAATTAAACGGTTACACACTTATAAGGGCAAATAATATCTAACTAAGACATCTAGAAATAGTAGTCTTTTTATAATTTACTACTACTCTTAACGCCTTTATTTAGGCTACTATTAAAGTATAAGAGGAGTTAAAAGAAGAGATATTATAGTACCTAGCTAAAAGTATAAATAGACGTCTTATAGCTGTTATTATTACATAAAGATAGTATATAAAATATTAAGTATATGGATAAATAGAACTGCTTTTTCTTTATATACTAATTTATATAATTTTACTTTTGTATATAAACACTATTATTTTATAAAGCTAAAGAAGTTGATTTTAGGAGGCTGGATTGGACAATTCCGGGATTAAGCTACACTTTTGCTTACCTACTGTACCTAGGCAGCAAGGCAGAGAGGAAAGGCTTCAAACGGTTCTGAGCAGACAGAGTAAGGCGGCAAAGAAACAAAGCCAAGACGGTCGCTTACTGTACCTTATGCGTACTTGTAGACAACTAAACTGGGAGGCCCACCTCTGTGCGCATACAGTACGGAGTAGGTTAGATGTATCTGTAGTAAGTGGATACCAGATCCACTAAGTACATTCGGCCCTGCTTCGGTACCGTGTACTACCTAGGTAGGCATGCATGTTTTGCTCTCACTCCTGTCAGTAAACCCAAGCCTTCTCTTCATGATCTACTATACTTTCCTTACACTACCACACTATCCACAGAAGAGACAATCATCATCCATACTGATAACGGTATTCGACCCGCGGTACGATACCAGACCCAGCGCCGCAGATGCAGGCTTGTGTGCTGATCTTTGCGTACGCCGTACAGGCATGCAACTTAAGGACAACCATCCCTGACAAATCCAAGATGCTGGGTACGTACCGTAAGTGGTACACATCCACGTCACTTCAGGCCGGAGACCAAACGCAGGCAAGCTGGTAGGTACACTTCAACGGCAGGTAGACGGACAAGTGGAGGAGACAGGGAGAGCGCGCTTGGCAGGTTCTCGAGCGCAGATCGAGATGAACCGAACAAGTCAATGGGCATTTGGCCTGGCACAAGAGTGCGCTCTCCTTAGCCCAGCCCACCCTAAGAAGCTGCGCTGCCAAAATCACTACCTCGGGCTACCTCAGGCCATAGCAAACCGAACTGGATCACTTCCCTCCTTGCCCAAAGTGACAGCCACCCCCATGCCCACGCCCACAGCTACTACCTCCTCCATCTTTACCGCCATCGTACGACTGCCGCTACAGTACTTCGACAGTGACACTAGTCGCATAGTTTCATTGTTTCGCACTTCACCTTTCTTTTGCAAACATCCATCCGTTGACAGAGGCCCTCACGCTATTCTCGTAACCTCCAGTCGCGCCACTACCGCCGCCGCCGTTTTCTCATCTTAGGTACGGACTTACTCTTGCCGCCTCCCGTTCCGACCGAAGACCCGACCGAAGACGTCCCCGTCGTAATTACACCGAATCGAGGACGAACCTCTATTACATCCTTCGCCCTATTCCCTACCTCGCGTTGTGCGCCTCGAGGCTAAAGGGGAGGTGCAACTTCAAGCACAACAGGGCCATATTGGCCGGTGGCACTGGTGTCGGGCATTGGCATCAATTGCCCTCACCACAAGGCAGCCCAGATGCCATGCCCGTCAGCGGGCCAGTAAGCCATGCTTTAGCCAGCAAGCAATGACAACCGGTTCTCGGATCACTGTATCCAGTCTATTCTTTGCCTTGCTCCCACTTCGTGGACACTACTCTTTCATCCGTCTAACCGTCGCATGCTATCTCGGAGCGCTTTCTCTTTCTCTTTACAGCATAACTCATGTTGCCGCAAGTACAGATGCACCATATGGTGCAACAACAGCCAAACTTCGACGCTCTTCCAACTCAGCAACAGCAGCGGCATCACCAACAGCAGCAGCAGCCGCAGAGCCATCTACAACACCAACAGAACCAGTACCACCTCTCTCAACCCAACGCTTATTCTTATGACCAGCATCTGCGCCGCTTGCCGGCCGACCCTACAAACCCCCAGTACCGCGATGGCAAAACTCCAAGATCCATCCCGATCCATACTTCACACCCAAGCCAACCTTTCCAGCGTCGAGCTGCCACCGTCGCTGGGCAGTCTCATTTCTCCGATGGTCCCGAGCATCACTTACGACGCAAGACACCGAACGGCACCATCGACGCGGGCTATGATGGCTCTCTTACACACTTCGCCTCGGGGCCACCGCCTCTAAAGCAAATGATCCTGCCCGCCACGCCAACAGCCTACAGCGCGAACTGCCTTTATC